CCGGGGATGGGGGGGGATTTCTGAGTAATTTTGTATCTTTCTTCTTCTCTTGTCTTTTATTATTATTATTATTATTAATTTTACATAAGGTTTCTGATAGGCCAGGATGGCCTTGAACTCCTGATCCTCCTCCATTTTTCCAAGTGCTGGGATCACAGGCATGTTGCAGCACACTTGGCTAATTTTAATTTCTTTCAGTAGGAATTTAGTAGGTTCCCAGCCAGTGCCGCACAGGAAGGCAGGCACTTACCATGGCTAGGCCATTCTTAAAATAAAAACCATGTTTCAGGTCAGACTGAAGACATAAGACCCTCTGCCATTCCCATCCTGACTTCTTCCTGGAGGGGAGGGAGAACACCTCCCTGGTGTTCACTTATTAGCAGAGCTTCCAATCTTGTCAGCTTTGCTAGGCTTGCCTAGTATTGCTGGCACAAGTCCCATGCAATCTATGGGAGGCCAAGTCCACCTGGGCTACCTTCTGTTGCTAGGCAGGCTTGCATCATGTTAAGACTGTGAGACATCCTCCTGCTGGGTTGGTCTGTGTGTATGTCAAATCCCCCATCATCTTCCTCTGGTTAGCCTTCATAGTTCTCCATTGCTTTGTATTATCTCCAGGTTTTATAGGTGGACTTACCAAGAAGAGACAAATCATTTGCCTGACCAAGTTGTGTTATGTATTTTTATGGCTGGAAAACAGTAGTCTAAGTAGAGAACTAGGTGGTTTACTAATAAGCCAGAGAAAAAGATTAGTTTTAGGACTATAGCTAGAACATAGGCTGGCACATTCTTAGAGCACCTGTCTTGCCACCCCACACCTGGTACCTAGATCTCACTGCATTAAAAGTAAAATAAAACAATTTTTTTTACACATTTATTTATGTATATAGAGGTCAGAGGACAACTTGTAGGGAGTTGGTTCTCTCCTTGTACTATGTGAGTTCTGGGGATCCAACTCAGGTCATTAGGCTTGGCAGCAAGTACCTTCTTTTTATTATTTTATTTATTATGTATACAACATTCTGCTTCCATGTATATCTGCACACCAGAAGAGGGCACCAGATCTTATAACCGATGGTTGTGAGCCACCATGTGGTTGCTGGGAATTGAACTCAGGACCTCTGGAAGAGCAGTCAGTGCTCTTAACCCCTGAGCCATCTCTCCAGCCCCCAGCAAGTACCTTTTTATGTTGAGTCATTCTGTCAGTCCCATAAAATCCCCCCCCCCCCCATCCCCGGAGTTTCTCTGTGTAACAGCCCTGGCTGTCCTGCTTTGTAGACCAGGCTGCCTCCTGAGTGCTGGGATTAAAGGAGTGTGTTACCACTACTTGGCTCCATAAAACTTTTTTATGGCAATAAAAGTAGTGACAGGGTTTCTCTGTATAGCCCAAGCTCTCCTGGAACTTGATCTGTAGATCAGGTTGCCTCAAACTCAAAGATCCATCTGCCCTGGCCTCCCAAGTGCTTGGATTACAGTCGTGCACTACCACACCCAGATCAAAGTAATTAATTTAAATTACACTTAAAAGACTAGAGAAAAACAAAGAAAAATTAAGTTAAAATTGCACATTTAAAGGATAGCATGAAGCTGGGAATGGTAGCACACATAATATAATCTTGGCACTTGGGAGGCTATAAGTGAGGGGAATCACAAATTTGGGGCCACACTGAACTATACCAGCAAAATCATGCTACAAAGAAACAAGAGTAAGTGCTTGCCTTGTGTTTGAAAAGTTCTAGGTTTGATCCCCAACACTGCACAAACTGTGACAATGAACGTCTGTAACCTCAGCACTGGGAGATAGAGGCAGAAGATTAGGAATTCAAGGCCAGTTTCAGCTACATAAAGAGTTTGATGATAGTGTGAGATATATGAGGGCCTGTTTCAACACACACACACAGACACACACACACACAGACACACACACACACACTCACACACACTCACACACACACACACACACACACACACACACACACACACACACACTCACTCATACTCACTCATGCCCGCACACACTCAAGTGCTTGAATGGCACATGTGCCAACAAACTCACAAAATCTAAATGCAAGCATAAGAAACTGTATTTTCCTTTTTTTTTTAATTTACTATTTTGTTGTTTTTAGGTATGTATTCCAGGCTGGCCTCACACTCCCGATTCTTCTTACTTTGCTTCCCAAGCACTGAATAGCTATGAGTCATCATATCTGGCATCAATAAATTTTATTTTGTTTGAAATTAAAAATGTCCTTTATTAAACTTTATTCATGCATGTAATGATGGCAGAGAAACAATATTACTAGAAATGGGAGGGTTAATTTTTTCTTGTTTTTTCTGACAGGGTTTTACTATATACTATAGGCTAGACTCAAAATTTTTTTCTTTAAAAAATATTTTTCATGTAATCTACTGATTTCAATAAATTTTAAATAAGTCAAAAATGCGGTTTTTTTAGAATAATAAATTTTTAAAAAGTGGATGTGCATGATTTTAAAAAATGTGTTTTTAAAAGCCCGGTGTGATAATGGCATGTGCCTAATAATTCACGAATGAGGCTGAGGCAGGAGGATCAACCTGGGCCACATAAAGAGATCTGGTTTCTAGTAGTTTTTAAAAAACTTTTAGATAAATATTAAATAAGCTCTGTAAAGGTATTATTAGAATATATCGATCTATAAAGCCAATTAATAAAGGTTATTTTGATGGCAAATATTTGTTTCATCCTGAATTAAGACCACTCTTCTGCAAGATTTCAGGGCAAATCATTTGACAATCTGTTACTTAATTTTCATAAGGGTTAAGCTGAATTTTTTTACTGTTACTGCTATGTGAATTAAGATACTAATAAACAGAATAAGCAAATGGCTTCATTTTAATGAATGAAGAACATGAACAAGAAATTTTTCCCTACCTTGTTTACAAGGTTCAGTGT